CCTAGAGAGGTTTTTTTTTTCTTGGGAGGGTGCATGTGATCAGCACAAGGTCAATCAGCACTGTCCAGATAAAGGTCAGGGGTTCTGCATCATCCTAGAGCAGAATGAAAACTCCTGCTACAAGCTTTAACCAGTGCTCTGCTGAACACTGACAGAAGTCACAAGACTGCTCTAACTGCTGATGGGAAATGGTATTTAGCAGTTTATATTTACTAAAATAATTGCATTTCCATGTTCTGTGTACTGTGGGAGACCAGATAGAGTGAATGCAGACTCCTGGGTTTAGTAACACTTTAACTATTATTTTTCTTCTGCTGCGGCTGGACAGGCTTGGGTGGTATTCAGCAGTACTTACCCGGAATGCCTTCCTAGGCACATACTGCCCTGAAGGTTCATACCACTAAGTGCACTGCACAGCCCCATCTAGGTGCAGAAGCTGTCAGACTCTCATAGAGTTTTTAAGGCTGCCAGCGGGGCTGGAAGTTCCCTCCAGAAACAGCTAAATGCCGGAGTCTCATGCACTGGGGTTAAATTCCCAGTGTGCATGAGGACATATAGTGAATGTCAGCGATGGCCACAAACTCCTCTACTCCTGCAATGTGAAGAAGGGGAGTTTTTTAAGGACCCTACTTTTGCATTATTATTATTATTATTATTACATTTTACACAAATTATTATTTTTTTATTTAGTTTATTTTGGAGGATTATTGTTTTTATACCTGCTCTTGTACATTACGTACAGCCACTGAATCACTTTCATTTTTAAGCCAGGAGCCGGCTGTACAAAACAGGCACAGGCTGATGGCTGCTACTGCACTCCTTGGATGTACTGTATGTAGTAGGTCCAAAAAGCTGAACTAGTTAGGCTATTCCACATAAAAGCTATAAGTTAAGCTATTCCACATAAAAACCCACCAGCTTCGTTCTGTTTGTTAGGGGCTTTATTTATTCATGTAAAACCTTTATCCCAAAAGTACAAAAACAGCTGTAACTGATTATAAAATGTGAAATCGTGTTTGGCTTCAAATTGTTAATGTATTTAATTCTGCTAGAACATTTAATACTACCCTCACCCCAGACTGACAATGCTGCTTTCTGCAGTGCCCCCTGTGCTCATACATCCAGAGTGGGGGCACTCTGAGCGCAGAGCACAGCACGTCTTAATAGAGGACGCTTTTGAAAATATGGATGTGGCCTTTTGTCAGCGGGAGGGAGTAAAGCAAGTGATCTCTAACAGCTGAAGGAGGGATTAATCCCTGCAGGGATATCCAGCAAACAAGGGGTTAGCCTTGTCATCCATAGGAAAGGACCTCACATCCATTCTATACTGCAACTATTCTGGCAGGTTCCAGGTTTTGTGAACCACAAGCATATATAGCCTATTTTATAGGCATAGCAGGACGTGAGCGCACATTTTTACTGGTTGGAGGATTCACGGAAAGTCACTAATTGATGATTTATGAATCACTTTATCACTATTAATGGACTGTTTATTGATTGATGGAACTATTATTAAGAATACTCTGCTAATAATCACAATTTTAGTGTTTGATTTTTAATCACTGTCACTTCATTTGTTATATTTAATTTTGAATTTATGATGTATGTTATCACAGATGGAATTATATATTTATTTACTATTGTGGTATTAGGGAGCGCTACATTTATAGGCACTCTAATATTATTTTTGGTCGCAGGAGCCTATAAAGCATTGCACAAGCGATAAGCAGATCACTGGTGTCATGCAAGTCTTCTGCAGACCCGTCAGTATATCTGCTTGACCTTACGGAATGTGTGGGCAAGCAGATATACTGACAGAATGAATCAATAAACTACCATGCACCGTGGTAGTTCATTGAGAACTACAAGCCGACGGCCGTCAAGGCTGGAGGGACTTGTACTTCATTAATTCACAAAACACTGTGCAATGTGGGCAGGAACTTCTCTCCGTATTTCTGTTACAGGGAGGGAGGAGGGGGGGATCAGGCAGCAGCTGCAGCATTGGGAACATGTTACATGTTCCACCCTAAAAATGGGTGGAACATGTAACATGTAATCAAAGGTGAACTTATACTTTTTGCCTCAAAGCTTGTAGCCTATTCAGGTGCTCTGGCACTGTAAAAATGCCACACAATATTTCAGCAGCTCATTCTCAACTGCAAAATTTCTAATGTTTGTTGCAGGTTAAATGCTACATTGCACCTCGAAATTTGAAGTCTGTTCTGGACATCCAGCCCTGGATAGGTGCCCCACAATGTTTTCACTACTCAAGCTCAGTTACAAAGTTTCTAAGTCCTCATGCACACTGGACATTTTTACAGCTGCTGTTTTTGGCTTTTGATGTTATTTTTTACAGCCAGTAACCCCCCCCCCCCCCCCCAGTATGTTATCCTATGTGTCCATGCACACATAGACTGTAATGAACGTTTTTTTGGCGGGGACTAGTGGGTTTCTAGAGGAGTTTTTAGCCGTAAAAACTCTCTAACGCGGCAAAACACGGTACAATGCTGTAAAACAAAGCAAACTGGCATATGTGGACATTTTTTTGAGCACAATAAAATATTTTTTTTTTGGTAAAAAAAAAAACGCTAAAAAACGCAAACGTAGAAAAACACGGGAAAACTCTCCGCTAATCGCTAATGCAAAAATGCTAAAAAAAGCTGAAAAACTCAAGTTTTTAACATGATTTTAGACAGCTAACGTTACCAGCATTATCAAAACGTCCAGCATGCATGAGGACTAATGATTGCTACAGGGTAAATCCTGTTTTGTGTCTTACGGATTGTGGTCTATTTTGTTACCCAGGCTCTGCAAAGGTAACACAATATTTCTGCAGCTCAAAATCAGCTGTGAACTTTCTAATGTTTTCTGCAGGGTAAATCCTGTGTGGTGTATTAAAACATTCAGCCTAGGTTTAGTAAACATTTAAGGCAGTACAGTGTAGTAGTATGAAGGCAACAGGCACAAAAAAACTGTACTGTTAAAACTTTATGTCACTGGCTAATCTGTACAATTGAGGGCTTTAGCTTTGTTTGTTTGTTTTTCGTTTTTTTTTTTAATAATAGAACTGAGCTACACCTTTTAGATCTGTTGTGATCTGTTTTTTTCTCTGCCTCAAAAGAACATTCTCCCTGCTGTATAGTATTTACATTTATTTTTGTTTTCTCAGGCTCCATGCACACAAGCATTTTCTTTAAGCTCAAAAACGCGGTAAAAAAAAAGATGCTGGATAAAAAAACACTGGTAGCAATTTTGTAGTAGCGTTTTAGTAGCATTTAGAAGCGATTAGGAGCATCACCATTTTATTAGAGTTTTACAGTACATGTAGGGAAAAAAAAAGCTAGAAAAAAGCTGTTAGGAGCGTTTTAGTAGTGTTTTAGTAGTGGTTTAGGAGCGTTAGAATTTTTTTTTCTGCCGGAAAACCGCTCCAAAAAACTCCTGTTCCTAGATGCTGAAGTTCAAACAACACTAAGTCTAAAGTAGTGGGCATGGACACATAGGATAACACTATTTAGCTTCTAGGAGCAGAAAAAATACTAATAACAGCTTCTAGGAGCAGAAAAAATACTAATAACAGCTTCTAGGAGCTTAACAAACACTAGTGTGCATGGAGCCTTCAATGTCCCCCATGGCAGTGTTCAGCTACCTGTGCTTTTTTGACAACAGATTTCCTTATAAAAATGTCCAGAATTTCCCTGAACTCTTAATGACTAATAATAAAGTGCAACTAAAGGCAGCCTATATATTGTACTCAGAATAAAGCTCATGAAAGTGCCGCATTTTACTAAATATCATAAATAAAATCATAATTACCTCAACATACACCTACATTTTCTTACTCTAACCCCCCCAATCTGTGCCTCCACTGCTGGATCCTGATAGTGATGGTGGGAGGCATTTTGCAGAACTGGCACATCATTGCCTTCCACTATGCTAGCATCTGCATCTCCCACAGGGAAGTACAGTTCCCATGATTTATGGGCAGTTGGCAGTGGCATAGGCAGGACACAGGCGCACCATAGGCAGACCGAATGTGGGGAGTGGGCGAAGCCTTGGCTTGTCTTCACGGATGACTGACACATCAGGGCTTTCTAAGGAAAAGAAGCAAAGCCCCCCTCCAATGACGTCACTGCACTGTAATCCCTTGAATAACAGCATAACGTAAAAGGGGAAAATGGAACCATTTGGAAAGTTTTTTTTCATAAAAAAATCTTTATTGAACTGTGTAAAGTTATTATATAAGAGAATTGTGTTGTTAAAGTCTCGTCCAAAAGAGAACCCCCCCCCCCCCCGTATTCTTTAGGGATGTTGGCACCCTGTGTATTATATCGCTTCCCTTCTCCATTTGGAAAGTGAGGAGTTTATGTTGTTTCACCAATAAAGGAAGCTGACAAGCTGGAGGGGGAGCAAGTAATTTTCTCTATATCCTGCATTTACATGACAAACAAAGACACACACATATTTTACAATCTACCAGGTCCTATCACAGACTGATTTTTAGTTTTTGACCTCAGTTCTATTTTAAAGAATAAGTTCACCTTTGGGAACATGTTACATGTCCACCCATTTTTAGGGTTCCCTCCGCCACGTCCACCACCCCCCTCCCTCTGACAGATAGTATGGGGAGAAGTCTCCCGTAATAGCTGTCAGATTTGAAAACAGCGCGGGGTCCGCCCACACGTCCACGTCATTTATTCACAGACGTCCGTGAATAAATGAACTGCAAGTCCTGACAGCCTTGGCAGCTGTGGGCTTGTAGTTTTCAATGAACTAGTTAACTGAAGCTTCCTGTTAGTATATCTGCTTGCTCATACATCCCCTACGGCAAGCAGATATTCTGACAGGTCTGCAGGAGACCTGATCTACAGATCACTGGTGCAATACTTTTCAGGCTACTCAGGACAAAATAATACATTTTTGTCCAAAAGGTGAACTTATCCTTTTAATATAACAGCATACATACACACAAAAGCAGAAATACACATGGCATAAGCGTTTACCTCCCACAATTATATAGCTCGCAGCAATAACAGGTGTTGCTTTTTACTTTCAAAGAACAAGATCCTCGAGTTGGCATCTGGCACATCACCTGAGGGAGAAAGAGGAAATCAAAAACTAAACCGTGATGATTCAACATTCCACAGGTTTCAGTCAGCAGAAGTATAGATCATGTCATCTAACTTACCTCAGTAGTATCGGTGGATCGATCTTCATCTGAAGAGGTAAAGTATCGACATTTCCCTGCATAAATTGGTCTAAGATCCTTTTAGAAAAAAGAATTCAAATGAAAATTTTCATTTTTATTCTGAGTATTTCATAACATATCTCAGGTTTTTGTTTATTTTACCATTATTGTGTCACTAAATATTACATAATTTTAAGCTATAGGTAAGTTATCAAACCACAGGAATCAGCAAATCACAGCATGTATTAAACTTAAAACTGCTATCTGTCCAGCTAAAGCTGTAAAAATGTTTTGGCTGGAATTTATCAGAATCTTAAATGTTTTTATTTCTGCCTGGGTTGCTGTTGAAGACTGACACTTACTTGCTGTTGCTCTTTCACATGGATGTTCTCATCCCGTCCGCCTGCCCATTTTTCAGAGGAGCTATGAACAGGGGCATCCTAAGGTTGGTGTCACCCGGTGCAGTAAAACTTGGTGACACCCCCTCCAACGATCCCCACAGGATGGATCAGATCTGTGGATTGGGGAGCATAATGGATCGGACTCCGATCCATTATGCTCAATCCGCAGATCCGAACCATCCTGCGAGGATCATCAGCATGCAACCTATATGGGGTGACACCAGACTGAAAATAGGTAAGTACACACAGGTTAGTCAACATAGGTAGAGGAGGGGGAAGATGACTTTTTAGGTTAGTTAGTGTTAGGCATAATTTCTACTTTAAGCTGTGATATCACATAGCACGCGCCATGGGTAGTATAACAAATGGCACATGTGATGTATGTGAATATCATTTGGTTTAGTGGAAAGTTTTAGATTTTGTTATTATTGCACTTATGATCTGCTGATTGTGGATGCAATGCACTGCAGGCTCCTTAGAAAAAAATAGTAAATGCTCATTTTTTTACATGCAAAAAAAAAATATTTTTTTTTTCAAAATATAAACTTAAGCAGGCCATACATGGGTCGAATTCCAAAAAATGTTGTTCGTTCTGTAATCCGATAGTACCACCAATGATTTCAAAAATCGGTCAATTTTCATGAATTTTCCAACATGCCTGATAAACGAAATGCGAAGGAACCACGAATATCAACTGGTGCCATTGCCCCACTAACAGAGCGAAAATCAGTCGATTATTCTTAGGTCCGATTTTCAAACGAAAAATCATTCAGAAATCGACCGATGTATAGCCGGCCTTATTCTTTAAATGATTGCACCAAGATGGTTGACATGAATTCCAAGAAACTTGTATATTCTAATGAGATCAGATGTGTTTGTTTAAAGACAGGTTTACTAGCCTAATTAGCTTTTTTAACTCCTAGCATTTCTCTTCTCACACATGGAAAAAACATTGTGCATGTCTAATGCACAATGTTTTTCCATGTGTGAGACATTGTGGAAGAAAAGAAATGCAGGCCTTAGCACACTGATGGCACATTTCACACCTCATTAGTGTCTGCAGTTTTTTTTAACCTTTCATAACTATGGCTATTTTATTGCCCTTTGACCAGAAAGATTCAGGTTAGAAATCTGTAATAAAGATGCAAAAAGGAACAATTTCTTACAGATTCTACATCAAAAACACCATCATCCATACAAGGTACATAAAGGTCAGAAGGTTTTCATTTTTTTTTTCTTTGGTACAATTGCATTACATATTAACAGATAGGGTTCCCCTTTAAGGTACATTTCACTAGGAAGTATAAAGCCGGCCATAGATGGGTTCAAATCTCAGCCAGTTTAGCAGACACTGGATAAGATTCAACCCATCTGTGAGCAGGTTGGTTGTACCCAAGTTGATCCATCGATCAACTTGGGTACAACCAGCCTGTCATATTTTTTACGGCTATATCCATGAGCAGTAATCATTGTGTTCTGCTGGCCTGGAAGGCTCCCCGCCAGCAGAATACAATAGCTCCACGGGAAGCATTCTCCTGACTGATCTGAGTGCAAAACACTTCCAGGGAAGGTTCACTGTCTGGGTTGCATATTTGCCTAGCTGTCAGAGAAATTCAGCTTCCATATTTATCTTGCTTCTGTATTATGCCCTCTAATTCCCTCTAAAAGTACTGGTTTAGAATACTTACTAGATGTCTGGCAGCAAAAACACCATCCACAATGGCACAGCAAAAAGCCGCAATCACTCCAAAACTGATAAAAACTATAGATGCAACAAGCTGTAAATAGATGTAATTTATAAAAAATTACATTATTACTGAGATATAGTTATTTATATTAGAAATAAATATAAAGATCATGGTTGAATCATAGAAACATGCACATAGATAATCAACTGCAGAAACACAAATATGTCAATCACAGATTTAAAGCACATCTAACCCAAAAACAAAAAAAATAATATTGCAGCTTGCCAGTCCTTAGATAAGCTGCCTACATTGTTTTTTTAATTTTTCAGGCATTTTTTTGCCTTTATTTCACCTGGTAATCCTGTGAGCAACACACTTGCTAGGGTGACAATGCTCACTCCTCCACTGTACCTAGATGAGGATAGACCAGGGGCGGACTGACCATTTGGAAACTCAGGCACTGCCCGAGGGCCCGGGGTCAGTAGGGGGCCCCATGAGATGCCCCTGGTACCTTTTTCATAGGCTTTTTTGAGTTTGGGCAAGGACACAGGGGCCCCATGATCCCCTATTGCCCGGGGGCCTCATGAGCTGTCAGTCCGCCCCTAGGATAGACTTTAAGGCTGGGTTCACATATGTGCAGGTGGTGCTGCTGCGTAAATCCGTGCTGCCGCACCACCCACATAGAGGAATGCGGACCCGCGGGCAGGTGCCATTAATTCTAATGGCACGCCACCCACATTGGAAATCGCAACCACCGACCGAACTGAGGTTCTCGTGTTGGCTGCGTTTTCAGAAGAGGTGCAGGGATTTCCCCCTGCGTGTCCATTCAAATGATTGGGGTCTCCCCGTGCAGACTGCAGGAACACACATATGTGAACCAGGGCTAAAGTGGTTGTAAACCTCAGACATGAAATATGAACAAAGAAAATCCCTCTATAGTGTGTACTTGTCTCAATTAAGAGCACTAAGTGTAATTCACTCACTTCTGACAAGTTTCCCTGACACCAAGAAAAAAAGGTGACAGGGGAGGGAGCTCCAGCAGATTGACACCGTCAATTCTGTTTCTGTGAGCTGTGTGGAGGGTGTGTGTCTCTTCTATCCAATCAATTCCCTGAGCTCCCCTTACTGAGCTCTGCAGTGTGTAATTTCAGCTCTCTTTTCCCCCGCTGTTTTCTGGAAGCGTGGACAACCTTTATAAATTCAGCACTTTGAACAGATGTAGAGAAGACTGCAGATAGATAGGTACAACTTATGTAGGAGGATTTGTTTAATCTCTTTGTATCACTTGAGGTCAGTCACTTCATTGGGTATATGTACAGTAAGTGTTTACAACCACTTTAAATATGTCTTCCTCTCTTTTTCTCCAATTATACAGAGAGATGGACTTTATAGAAGGAAGCTAACATTGTGTTATGCCTCTAGTTCAACTTATAGAAAATAACAAGGGCATTGTATTTCTGGGTTTAGAGATTCTTTATTACAAAAATATGGTAGGATAATTTTCCTTACACACAAGTATGTACACTACAGTTATAACTTGCAACATTCAGTGTCTGCCAGAGATTGCAGTCATGAATGCGTCTGTGATCGCCTGTGTGCCATGCTGTAAAAGGGGACGGGACTCTGTGGCATCTTTAGTTAAGTATTATTGTTATATTTTCTAATATTATTGTCATCTGTATCTTTAATAAATGTTATACTTTTATAAGTATTTGTGTGATTTCTCTTTGCACATGTCAAATACAACCCCAAAAACAAACTATCGAGTGACCGTGATAAAATATTTTATAATAACTAAGCCAGTATATAGAAATCTAATATATATATGTGATGCAGCATAATATGATCAGAAATAATTTATAATTTTGATTACTAAATAAATATTTTAAAAAATCTGGATAAAAACATTCAATTGTGGTGCTCTAAAACCATATACAATACTTGATAATTTATATGAACTCAATATTTAAGTGATACTCTAGGTAAACAGTTAATTGCACACTAGAAATACATGTGTTTACTGTATTACCTGCCAAAAGATTTGTAATTTTGGCAGGCCATTCTTGGCATCAGGGACATTAGATCTACTTGAGCAGTGATTACTTTACTAGGACTTCAGCCAAAAATTTTTTTAGTATTTGACTGAGTGAAGAAGCATTAGAACCACTTTTCACATTTTCCCCACTAGTGTCTTTCCAGTTTCTTCCTGTCCTGTAGATTTCACAAGTAATGAAAAGAAACTTCAAACAGACAACAAAAAAACAATAAATGTTCTCTTTCCCAACTCTATCTAAAAAAAAAATTAACTTCATTTTGAGTTTAAAGTGATCTTCTCACCAGCTAAAATAAATGTAATACAATAAAAAAAATTTTATATGTACAGTACATGTTGTCTACCATCTACACCACCCTGCTGGACAATCTTCTGCATCTAGGTATGTCAAATTCCACGACCCCACAGTGCGATGTGGTGTCACCTGCTGGTCACTATCTTATTATTCTTGTCCTATATGTAATATCTGAAGGATGAAACCATTTGTGCAACCAGTGATCAGGAATCCAACATACATGAGCTGGGTGCTTCAAGCAGTAGCTGAAGAAAGAGAAGAAATGCAGACTGATGATGTGCACAGTGAAATAGGTAAATATTAAAAGTCTTCTTTTACAGGCTGTGATTTTTTTAAATTTTTAGGTGCCATTTTAACCCCATAATGACTCAGTAACACATATATGAGGCGTCCAGGAGGTGGGCTTTAAAGCTGGGCGCCACATATATGTGTTCCTGTGTTTGTTCTCCTAGCACAGAGATTCTCACTGGGAGCCTCAGGTCTCATACTAATGATTAGGACCAGGGGCTCCCGGTTCTTGGTCACCTGATCGCTGTGTTAGCATCTGATTGGCAATCGCAGTGATCAGTCACTATGCAGGCTGCCCATGTGTTTTCCTTCTCTTCTGAATAGAGAAAAAGATACATTGTTCCTTTCTCTCCTGGTGGGAGAGAAATATGTAAACAAACCAAATAAATAAAAAAAAAAACAAGAACAAAATAGCTTTCATCTAGGTCATTGTCAGTATTAGTATTAGGGTCAAGGTAAGGGTCAAAAGTCAAGGTTAGTGTCAATGGTTGTGGTCAAAGGTCAGGGCCAGCATATTTTAGGTAGGGGTTTTTTTTTTAGAGGCATTATTTAAATTAGTATCAGTGTCAGTGTGTTTTAGGTAGAATAGAAATGCACAATATGTACTATTGTTTCTGGGCCTTACTACGGGTACAAATAACATACACATACACTATATTGCCATAAGCCTTTTCACGCACATGAATTTTAATAGCATCCCAGTCTTAGTCTGTAGGGTTCAATATTGAGTTGGCCCACCCTTTACAGCTATAACAGCTTCAACTCTTCTGGGAAGGCTGTCCACAAGGTTTAGGAGTGTGTCTATGGGAATGTTTGACCATTCTTCCAGAAGCGCATCTGTGAGGTCAGACAATAATGTCAGACGAGAAGGTCTGGCTCGCAGTCTCCACTCTAATTCATCCCAAAGGTGTTCTAGCGGGTTGAGGTCAGGACTCTGTGCGGGCCAGTCAAGTTCCTCCACCCCAAACTCACTCATCCATGTCATTATGGACCTTGCTTTGTGCACTGGTGTGCAGTCATGTTGGAACAGGAAGGGGCCATCCCCAAACTGTTCCCACAAAGTTGGGAGAATGAAATTGTCCAAAGTGTCTTAGTATGCTGACACCTTAAGGGTTCCCTTCACTGGAAATAAGGAGCCAAGCCCAACCCCTGAAAAGCAACCCCACACCATAATCCCCCATCCACCAAACTTTACACTTGGCACAATGCAGTCAGGCAAGTATCGTTCTTCTGGCAACCGCCAAACCCAGACACGTCCATCAGGTTGCCAGATAGAGAAGAATGACTCATCATTCCAGAGAACACGTCTCCACTGCTCTACAGTCCAGTGGCAGCATACTTTACACCACTGCATCTGATGCTTTGCATTGCAGTTGGTGATGTAAGGCTTGGATGCAGCTGTTTGGCCATGGAAACCCATTCCATAAAGCTCTCTACGCATTGTTGTTGTGCTAATCTGATGGCTGCATGAAGTTTGGAGTTCTTTTGCAGCCAGTGGCGACTTCTGCAAACTGTGTGTTTCAGCATGCACTGACCTTACTCTGTCTTTTTACGTGGCTTACCACTTTGTGGCTGAGTTGCTGTTGTTCCCAGTTACTTCCACTTTGTTATAATACCATTAACAGTTGACCATGGCAAGGAACTTTCATGAATGGATTAATTGCACAGATGGCAACCTATCACAGTACCACGCTTGAATTCGATGAGCTCCTGAGAGCGACCCATTCTTTCACAAATGTTTGTAGAAGCAGTCTGCATGCCTAGGTGCTTGATTTTATACACTTGTGGCCATGGAGGTGATTGCAACACCTGAATCCAATGATTTGGAGGGGTGTCCCAATACTCTTGGCAATATACTGTAGTGTATGTGGTATTGCTGCAATTGTCAGGAGAAGGGAAATTTATTTTGGGTTGTTCTTTGGGGGTAAGTTATAGTAATAGCAGGAAATACACGGTTACATTTAAAAAATGATTTTTTTTTAACTATTTTGAACAATTTTTCCTTTGATAATAAAAAAAATCAGGAGATATCCATTACTATTTAATAAATAATGAAAGCCCAAATTCTCCTGAAAAAAACAAGGTATATACCCACCAGGATACATAAAATAGTTGCGACCATATACCTTAAACTCAATATGATGCAGCGCAACTCTATAAACCAACACAATTGTGATACACAAAATACAAATAATCACTCCAAAATATATTCTATTGAGTGATTATTGGTATTTACATTGTGTATCTCAATTGTGTTGATTTTTTAGTGTTGTGCTACATCATAATGAGTGTAAGGTATATGTGAGAGGGATGGAGTGGAATCACCTAACGGTATTGAAGCAGCAACCTTTGATTTATTTGCACATTATTTATGTAAGGGTGACTGCGCTGATTGCCACTAAATATAGTTGTGATCATATGAACAGTTTAACTAACAAATGTCAAAGTTGCCAAATTAGGTCTGAACATTAATGTTTATTTTACCCTTGGTCATGAAAGTGTTAAGTATTGCGCCTTTGGTTTGTGTTTTATATTGTCTATCATGAATGCTGCTGCCAGACTCATCCACCTTACTAACCTTTCTGTATCTGCCACCCCTCTCTGACAATCCCTCCACTGGCTTCCCATTGCCCAAAAGATAAAATTTCAAAACATTAACAATAACGTATAAAGCCATTTATAACTGCCCCAAATTACATCAGCAATCTTGTCTCTAAATATCACCCAAACCATACTCTCCTCTCCTCGCAAGACCTCCTGCTCTCTAGCTCCCTTGTCTCCTCCCATGCTCATCTCCAGGACTTTTCCAGAGCTTCCCCCATCCTCTGGAACTCTCTACCCCAATTTATCAGACTATCACCTACTCTGCTCACTTTTAGGCAATCTCTGAAAACCTCTCTCTTCAGGGAAGCCTATCCTGCCCTCAGCTAATAATGGAATCTTCTACTCTTCGTACCAGTCCATCCCCCACAGTTACTAGCTTTTGTACCACTAGCCCCTCCCTCCTAGATTGTAAGCTCCAAGGAGCAGGGCCCTCCTTTCCCTCTTGTATTGAACTGTATTGTTGCTGTATTGTCTCCCGTTCTATTGTAAAGCGCTGAGCAAACTGTTGGTGCTATATAAATCCTGTATAATAATAATATAATAATATTGTGTACAATTTGTGAAGTATGTGTATCTTATGCATAGTGTCAGCTAGGCTGACAAACAACGTTATGTGCTTTATCTACAGTTTCCTCTGATCAAGACAGTGGCCACTTCAGATCACATTAAACAAAAATAGAATGTGGTTTAATATTTCATAAGCTGTGTTTCAGTTATTGGTGTTTGCCAGTATTGTTTTAAAGGAATACTGGACTCTTTTCCACATCAGATGAATATTTGTCCAAAATAGTTCTGCTGCAGGAAATACTGTTTAGTCACATTATGATGTAGCAGTAAGTTTAAAAAAAAAAAAAAGAATATGTAAAGTTTTCTGTAAATTGAGCACTGCAGTATTTTTTTAACTAAAAGCTTCAGATCTAGCTATTATAGGTAATTAGTTAAACTCTATAACTAAAGGGGAATTCAACCTAAAAACAAAAAATGTTTTTAGGCAAGATTTTTACGACAAAAAAAGGCTTCTATGGAATTGGCATTCTGGAAAACCAGCATCGAAACAGCGCTGCCAGCCAATGGCTGTGAGTGCTGATCTGTGTGTTCTGGTGGGGGACTAAGTTTGCTTAGTACAGCGACCACTCATTTTTGTTTATCATTCAGCCTGTTGGGTTGAACAATAAAAAGCTTGTGTGTGTCTTCTTTCAATTAATCAGCACAAATGTTCAAATGCTGTTATTTGCTCCCTATTTTGCTTCTCCTCCTCTGTCCCATTTTTTGACAAGATACATTTCCTTAATTTCGCACTTTCAACTTTCTTTTTCTCCTCTAAAAACATGAACTGTCTCCTATTGCTCCCTGGTACAATGACCACCTGTAGTCAATAAAGGCAGGCTCTAAAAAACATAGGGCATAGTTAGTGTCATTATGTCCTGAATGTTTATTGTCAGGCTTGGAAAGATTATATGTGAATATAGAGGAAAACTGATTCTGCTAGATCCACCTACAAGACAGATTTTCTGCACCATCCATAGGCTGTTAAAACCTCACTGTCCTTCTGTAATACCAGCCTCAACACAGCTCTATAACACATTTGTAATGGAACCGGACCCGACTGCACTAGGATATTTCCGTTAGACTCCCGCTTCCCTGTCCGAACACCAACCACGGACACCACCGCTGACCACACAGGAAATAGACAGCACCAGACTCGTCTTAAAACAGGAAGTGGACTCCTTTATTTTTACACAGACACAAGATATAAACATTCAAGAGAACAACCCACCTCCCTGCATAAGGACACAGGGCAGGGCAAAGCAAATTTAGAGACACATCCCAACAGACAGTGCCATCAGGAGGGCTGCTGGAAACACCCCCCACCAAGTCAATACACAAACACATAATGGAACAATGGGACCACCATGGCAGTGAACAATGAACAACCCCCACACCAATACACAAACATTACATCCCATAATAGTTTGCTAGAACAATGGAATGCAGCCGCATGGCAGAGAACAATGAACAATCCACACACAAATATTAGAACATTTCACCCTGTACCCCTAACAGGCACAGGGTGCCTTAGACATAAGAGGAACAGGAGAAGCTGAGACAGGGGTCCCCCCACCCCCAAAAGTCACTCCCGTCACAACATTATTACATGTTTTTCACTAAGATTGAAACATTCAGCATCACACATTTTCCACAACACATTTTACCTCCATATATTCCTGGTTTACCCAGCTTTACTGGTTCTTCACTCTCCCACTTCTCTTTACTCTGCATTTCTCTTTAAAGCTGTATCAAACCCCAAAAGGGAGTGTTAGCTGTACTAGCAGATTTAGAAACACTAACAAATTGATGTCCAACTCCAGCCTACACTTTGGTTACACAATCAGTTATAACTTATGTTATAGTTTATAAGGCTATCACTACCCAGCCCATTGGTGACCAGTCCAGTCCCTCCTACAACCCACATAGCTGGATGAGGGAGCTGGAAGCGGAAGTGCAGGAGTAATTGGGAGGATCGGAGCAGTGTAAGACACAGTAATAATGTGGAGGTCATATGAAAGACCAGCCAGATGTAGACAGATTACGCAAACTGTATCTTTATTGCTTTAATAAAACCAGTCAGAAACTCAAATATATTAAAGATACACAATAATTATTTTGATTCTATGAAAAGAACTATCTGCCATGTGCTGCTAATAGTTCTTGGAAAATTGCTTAAAAAACATTGCTCTAAATTACATAGTAACATCAGTATTACACACTATCTAGTTTTCTGCAGACAGAAATAAAGACACATGCTAATTGAAGAGTTATGTAGTTAGGTTATTAATGGTTCTTTGCTTACACTTTCCAACAATATTCACTGCATTTCTTGTTTCCCTACAGGATTGTAATTTTTTTTCCTTTTTCACTTACCATCTGTCTTTTATTCTCTATTAAATTGGATCCAATGATTCCAAGTATGGATCCAAATCCAAGCTGAAGGAAGAAAAGCAGAAACTTGTATTATGTTTATAAAATCATATGAAAACATTCTTTCCGGTGAGATCTTCAGGAATGCAAAGCAGTCCCAAATCTCAAGAAAAGATGCTATTGCAGTAAATGGAGGTAAGGTAACTAACCTTTTTTCCTTACAGGTACAGTTTAAAAATGCCTATATGCAGAATATTTTACTAGGGAAATCTGGACCTTACATTTTACTACAACGTCTCATTCAAAGTACCCAATGTGCACACCTCAAGTGGTCTTTCCCAAATTCGAGGTCCATTCTTTTCCCTTAGTTTGTGTCCACAAAATATGCTTATAAGAGCTCTCTCCAGTTACATGATTCAACCTAGGCACATTCCTCTAAACAGCTATTTGGCCAGGTCATTTAGAACACTTACTATATGAAGATGTAGAAAGCTGGAATGAGACTTAACATACAATACTCATCTAAGTATACATAATCTCAGCGACTCCAGAAATTCAGTTCAGAACTTGTCACATGGGGCTGGCTTTAACAAACCCTAATGAATACTCCATAGAAAACCACTGTATGGATAACTCACTTCAGAACCAGGAAGAACAACTCCCAGCGGAGTCTTAACTGTTTTGCTTATGCTGGAGGTCGGAGAAGATTCAATTTCAGAATGTGCACAGTAGAAAATTAAGCTTCCCTGCTAGAGTTCTATTTTAGCACCCAATGATAAATGTATTCTAGAAACTTGTTTACATGCAGAGATATAAATCATAAATATAGTTAGAAACAAATATCATTTAAAGATTACAGACTATATTTAAACATCCAGTAAGGTATAATCAGTGGCCCTTTAGAGACCACCTTCACTAAAGGAAATAGCTTTTATCTCAGAATTTATACAGTATATAAATATTTATAATCTTGATTGGGAACTTACAATTACACCCGGATAGTAGCCTCCTACCGTAACATTTTCTGTTCTAGTGGTTGCTGCCAGACCCACTGTTAAAATTAACGTGGAAACAATGAAAAGGGTCACAGTGACAAATATGGAATTTCGCCTTCTTCGGTTAAAGGAACCTGAAAAGAAAATCAAACAAATTAACTTACTAGTACATAGTATACATACTTCATGCATCTGTGCATTTCTGTAGCTTGTAAAACTATATCTTGAGTACCAAAACCAGATAGCCTGTAGTTGGACTGCCTATTTTCATTACAAAGTTGACTGTTGTGCTATGCCCATTTCCCAATGGCCCAACTATTTAATTATAGCAATGTTAATGCCCATTGAGGTTATCTAACTGGATCCTGAGTGACAGAGTGGGGATGTAGATCAAGGGACTCCATTTTTTTTTTATTCCTTTCATGATTCGAATGTTGATATGGGGACTCCATTTTCCCTTTATCTACAACACATGTAACAGCACTCACTATCTAAAGCAAGCATAATGAGTTCCTCTGAATGGCCCAAGCTTGAGTACCGAGTCCCCAGTACCTGGCCTCCTCCTCTGCATTCTCCACTGCAGAAAAGGCAGCAACACTGTCTTTGTTGAAGAGATGAGGTTTCACCAGGAGAATCCGATATCACATTGAGAGATAGTTCTTATCCCTTAACAACCATGAGCTCCTAGACTACAGAGTGGGGATGAGCTTCACGTTCGGGTTGACCATGAGCTCAACTCTAACTCAAGCTGTTCACATTTCACTGAAATGGCAATTTAAATGGCCAGATCTGGCCAGGTCACCTGCCCTACTGAACCACTGGTGCTGCAGCTTCAAGTCATTCATTTAGTGCAGTATTACTACTGTCATTAAACAGCAGCCTCCAACTGCCTATATTCACATTCGAAACAAACCATTGGACATCCTGGGTGATGTCACAGACCTAGTATAGTCATGACTATATGGTCGCTGCCCCTCCTTTTCCTGGCTAGCCAGATAAGGTGCTAGTGTGGATTCTGAGGGGGACCCAGCATAAAAAAGGGGGGAAATTCCTTTCCAAAACCCAGACCTCACCAGAACTTTGTGGCACTCACTAATAAGCAAATAGCAGCTCTCGAACACACTTGTGCTTTGTTCCTTAATTGAAGCTTGCATATTTCACTACAATATACAGCTATTATTACTACCTTATTACTACTTAGAAGACTCTCCAGAGAATCCTGTACCAGATCAATTTAATTAACACTTACCCTCCACAGGGCTGTTTATACTAACTTGCCTAATTGCTGTTATTATCTCACTGAGTGTTGTAGCCATTTCATTATGGTATCTTTATGATTTGACACTCAGCTGTACTACTAAACTACAAGAAGGTTATTACATACACACCATTTGTAAATAATACTAGTGCAGCCTATTGATGTTTTCTCTATTCCATTGGTCAATGCACACACAGAATTACCTGACACGTAATAATCAACAAAAAGAAGAATTGATTCCCTAATACAAGAAATGTGATGTCATCACTGTGCTGCCATTGCATCATCCATCCAGCAGGCTCTAGGTTTGATTTGATCAGCATTCTTGATGAACCTGTGCATCAGTTTCAGTGCAGATCATGGTTGTGCTGTATAGTAGCAGGGGTCTAGATTGCAAAAATTGTTGTACAAAATTACAGATCCTCTGATAGTTAAAATGTTGCCATTTGCTGCATGGCATGCATTTCACAAAATTGGTTAAATATAGCATGCTTTTCAACTGTACTATTAGCTGTAATGTCTGCTGTCCAACTATACGGAACTGAGGCACTGAGAGCAAATTGACAAAGTGTGTTTACAGCTCATGCTGCTGCTCCATTGCATTGTCAGAAATGTAAGTAAAAGAGGGTTTGGGGTGAACTTTAAAATGACACATGAACTTTAACCAGTTTACATCTGTGCCGGTGGTGCCGCTGCAGATCCGCACGAAAATCCATGCAGCCGCACCACCTTCACAGAGAAATGCGGACCCCCAGGCAGGTGCCATTAGTTCTAATGGCACGCCGCCCGCACTGGAAAACTCAACCGTAAAGGGAACTGAGGTTCCCGTGCGGGCTTCATTTTCCAGAGAAGTGCAGGGACATCTTCCCTGCATGTCACGGGCACGTAAGTCCATTCAAATGAATGGGCTCTCGCACCTGTGCGAAACGCGGCCCCATGGCCGCATATACGTGAGCCAGGGGTGAAGGTGAACTGCAGCCATTGAAACTAATACACAGTTAAAATACATGCTGTAAATAAGAGCTGTTTTCCTTCCAAAAGATTTGTAATTCTGTACAGCTACATTTGTTTCTCTTTAATTATATTGATAATTTTTGGACCAAACCAACCTCTTGAATGGCTCTATTATGACATACATTCTAAACACATCCACTGTTACCAGAATGCTTATAGTTGCCAATACATTCATCTTCAAAATGGTCCTGAAGTAAAGCAAGATCTGTGCATGTCAGATGAACAAATTAAGTTTCTATTTACTTTGAAAGCACACATTCTGAAAGATGTGTGAAGCTGGAAAGGCTACTGAATCATTCCTTAAAGTGGTATTAAACCCAAAAGCAAACATTTATTATATTGCAGCTTACCATTACATGTGATGGCTGCATTCATTGTTCTTTCTTTTATTTTCATCTGGTGATCCAGCCAGTAAGTTTGTTATTTTTTGAAAGAACAAGCTCTCCAGCAGAATGTATTAGTTATAGAAATGAGACAAATCATTTAACACTAGCAGGGGTGCTTACAACAATCAACTTTTATTTATTCATGTTTAGCCTTTATCCCAAACGAAAAAAAAAAAAAACTGTTTGCTGTAACTGCTTAAAAATCATGCCAATTGGTGGGTGCCCTGACTAGAATGCATTACTAGATCTATTGATTACAGATAACACGGATCTGGGTGCAGATGTGGAAATAGGGGAAAGCTTGTGAACCAGTGATCACAGGATAATTACATTGTGTAAATCATAGGATAAGGAGGCACATGGGTAGTGCAAGAACACTAAATTTTAGAAGTGCCAACTTTTCTAAACTGTGCACAGTACTACAAGATATTAAATGGGATCAAATCCTAGAAACATTGAACACTGAGAAAAAATGGGAGAATTTTAGGAACATATTAAATAAAGGTATGACCCCCACATTTCCCTGTTCCGCCCCCCCCCTCTCCCTCACCTCTCCCCACCTCCCCCCTATAGTTCATATTGTACTCTAAGGTAATAAGCCTACATATCTAATTCCTACTATGTATATGTAAGTATCACTGTGAATCTATGGATATCCTAGTTCATTGTCTTCCTGTTAAATTGAAATAAATAAAGAGTTGAATATAAATAAAGGTATGATCCAGTGTATTCCAATGGGCAATAAATATAAAAGAGTGAGGGGTGAACCTGGGTGGCTAAACTGTAACGTTAAAATAAATATTAAAGAGAAAAAAATGGTATAACAAATATAAGGCAGAGGGGTCATTGTTGGCAATAGTAAGTGGTGTACCCCAAGGCTCTGTACTGGGACCAGTTTTATTTAATGACTTGGTAACCGTGCTATAGCTGAATGATGACTACAGCATGGTTACCCAGTTCTGGGAGGGCATCATATGACGTCCTCCCAGAACACATGCTCCCAAGGGTGCGCACCCGGCGATCTCCATGATCGCTGTGTCCTACGGACACAGCTGATCACGTGATGAGGTAAAAGGCCAATCACAGTGGCCTTTTACCACGTGATCAGCTGTGTCCAATGACACAGCAGATCAAGGAGTGAATACAGTTGCCGGTTATCGGCAGCACTTTCCTCAAGCTGTCACAGCATGAGGAAAGTACTGCTGATAACTGGCAGCTGACACAGAGAAGATCGGCACTTATCATCAGGACAGCAGTACCACCCACCAGTGCCCAACAGTGCTTCCCACCAGTGCCCATCAGTGCCACCCATCAGTACCCAGCAATGCCACCCATCAGTGCTACCCATCAGTGCTGCCCAGCATTCTGCTCATCAGTGCCCAGCAATGCCACCAGTCAGTGCCATCAGTTAGTGCTGCATATCAGTGCAGCATCATCAGTGCCCCCTCATCAATACCCACCAGTGCTGCCTCATCAGTGCCTCCTCATCAATACCCACCAGTGCTGCCTCATCAATGCTGCCTATCCGTGCCACCTCATCAGTGCTGCCTATCTGTGCCACCTCATCAGTGCTGCCTATCCATGCCACCTCATCAGTGCTGCCTATCAGTGCCCATCAGTGCTGCCTATCAGTGCAGCCTCATCAACACACACCAGTGAAGGAGAAAAATTACCTGTTTGCAAAATATTATAATAGAAACAAAGAAAAACTTTTTTTTTTCAAATTCTTTGCTCTTTTTTTGTTTATAGTGCAAAAAATAAAAATGATTAAATACCACCAAAAGAAAGCTCTATTTGTGTGAACAAAACAATAAAAAAATTAATATGGGAACAGTGTTGCATGATTGTGCAATACTCATTCAAAGTGCGACAGCGCTGAAAGCTGAAAACTGGCCTGGGCACGAAGAGGGGTATAAGTGCCCGGTAGGCAATTGGTTAATTTATTCATAAATGATTTAGAGACTGGCATAACTAGCTCAATCTCAGTGTTTGCAGATGATACAAAACTAAGTAGGACCTCAATAAAAATGTAAAATAATGCACTTGAGGGCTACAAATTCGCTAGTGGGAGAATCTCTGGGGGAGTCCAGGACAGAAAAAGATTTGGGGGTCCTAGTAGATGACAGACTCAATAATGGCATGCAATGCCAAGCTGCAGCAAGCAAATCCAGCAGAATATTAACATTAAAAAGGGAATTTACTCAAGAGATAAACCTATAATCCTACTACTTTAAAAAGCTCGGGTTTGGCCACATCTGGAGTATGCCATCCAGTTCTGGGTACCAGTCCTTAGGAAGGATGTGCTGGAACTGGAGAGAGTCCAGAGAAGGGCAACAGAGTTAATAAGAGGTCTGGAGGACCTCAGTTATGAGAAATGACTACAAACAGTAAACCTATTCTCCCTGAAGAAGAGACGCTTGAGAGGCGATATGATAGCGATATACAAACTGGAGGAAAAGCAATTTAACCTTAACCTCCCTGGCGGTATGATTCTTTCCGTTTTTTTGTGCTGAAAGCGGTACCATTTTTTTGCA